GTCTGTAAAGAGATCAGAGTGCGGCCTGGCCGTCTCGTGTCCAAGATGGAGGATGTCCAAGGAGTTGTGACCCTACGCTTTCCCTCCTCATCAGGAATCTGTCCCTTACCTCTTGTACTGTCCCTACCAGGGGGGTACCTGTCCCTACTCTACCAACTCACAAAATACACACCAAACCTGGGAGCCAGGGCCTTAAATAGGATCTGCCTGACCCAAGATGGCTGCTAGGGTCACATGGGGAGGCAGCATCCAATAGGATAGCTTCCCCGGGAACCTTGTTCCTCTTGGCTTCTTCTCCAACAACAGTGCCACTGTGGAAGAGCGCCACCTGCAGTGGAGGAAGTAGACTGCACCTGTCTACAAGCTACTACCAGAGAGTGTCCTCTGTGACCGTTGTCACTGAATTTGGGAATCCTAACGCTCCCCCGACACTCCAACCAAGTGTAACCAGCATGGAACTTCACAAAGACCCTCATTGCCTGGTTATTGCATTGAGAGACTGGGGAGCTGCTGTGTGCCTGGCTGTCATCACCCAATAGGGAATGGAACCTGGGACCAAACAGAGGGACCAGCTTGGGGTCTGCACTACACTTCTACAAATCCAACACCCCTTCCTTTACTCATAAGTGTTCCCACATATATTTCTGTCCAATCTGTCAGAGAGAAAACGAGGAGTGCTGATAGCAATCACAGACCCCCTGACATTCAGACTCCTCTATATTGTTACCGATGAATCAGGAAGATCGATCATTCTGGTCTGTGAGATAAATAACCCCCAATGTACCATTGTGACCCGATATCTGCCCGACTCCCCACCGCTTTCCTTCCTGTACAAAGTATGGAAAAAAGTGCAGAAAATCAGGAGAGGCCATTTACTCGTCTGTGCAGATTTCAGTGCCGTTCCAGACGTCACCATGGACATCTCTGGCTCCTCCCCCACACATACCTGCCGACCAATGGCATGGAAATGCCTGAAAACTGCAAATAACGGCATTCCACCGACAGGTCCTACAGCATTTCTTCTAAGCCTCGCCTCACCTATTCATAGACTTGTTTATGGCAGATCAGATCTTTCTTCAACAGATGTCTAAGGCTGGCCATACATTAGACAATCTTCTTGTACAATTTTCCTTTAGATTTACCAAAACCATAGAATTTGAGGTCCGACCTAAACACTTCCAATTTGTATGCAATCAGGCCGGCCCTTGTACTACATAGTGTAAGGTCCATCTAAAGGAGATTGAAGAAGAAGATTGTATAATGTATGGCCAGACTAATTCAGGGATCCTAAATGGAAGGGGTGTGCTGTGCTGGGGGAGGGGTTTATGGGAAGGCTGGAGGAGTATATAAACTAGGATGGAGGGGGGAGGGAGAATTCGATTATAACGGGGTAGACAGATCAGACCGGGGTCAGTCCCTATTGGTGGGTGGAATGGGGAAAGATGGGGGGAGGGCTATGGCAGGTGATAAGACGGTTCCCATGTTACAAACAACCAGTGGAATTGGTACCATTTGTATGAAAATAAAAAATACACAAAATCCGTGTGAACAAGGTGTCGGTGAATGAACAAGGTGTCAGTGAATGAACAAGGTGTCAGTGAATGAAGGAGGTGTCAGTGAATGAACAAGGTGTCAGTGAATGAACAAGGTGTCAGTGAATGTACAAGGTGTCAGTGAATGAACAAGATGTCAGTGAATGCACAAGGTGTCGGTGAATGAACAAGGTGTCTGTGAATGAACAAGGTGTCGGTGAATGTACAAGGTGTCTGTGAATGAACAAGGTGTCGGTGAATGAACAAGGTGTCAGTGAATGCACAAGGTGTCGGTGAATGAACAAGGTGTGTGTGAATGAACAAGGTGTCGGGTGAATGAACAAGGTGTCGGTGAATGAACAAGGTGTCGGTGAATGCACAAGGTGTCGGTGAATGCACAAGGTGTCAGGGAATGAACAAGGTGTGAGGGAATGAAAAAAGATGTCAGTGAATGAACAAGGTGTCAGGGAATGAACAAGATGTCAGTGAATGAACAAGGTGTGAGGGAATGAACAAGATGTCAGTGAATGAACAAGGTGTCAGGGAATGAACAAGATGTCAGTGAATGAACAAGGTGTCAGTGAATGAACAAGGTGTCAGTAAATGTCAGACGTCTGCCCAGCACAATCGGTGAGTTGGAAGGTTCGGTGAATGGACAAGGTGTCAGTGAATGAACAAGGTGTCGGTGAATGAACAAGGTGTCAGTGAATGAACAAGGTGTCAGTGAATGAACAATGTGTCGGTGAATGAACAAGGTGTCGGTGAATGCACAAGGTGTCAGTGAATGGAAGTGTTTGTTCCCCAATGTCAGACGTCTGCCCAGCACAATCGGTGAGTTGGAAGGTTCGGTGAATGAAGAGAACTAGGACTGGATTGGTATTGCTGAATCTTGGCTTCATTGGTCACATGACTGGGCCATTCATATTCCTGGCTAGGATCTCTTTCGGAGAGACGGGGGAATAGGAGAGGTGTTGGTGTCTCTATGTGAGGAGTCATGTGACCAGCCCCCCATTCAGTGGATATACTGAGGATAATGCACTCTGGGGGTTTCTATCATTCCCTTTGAGGATACAAGTAGAAGATGGAATAAGAATCCCGTGTGGTTGAACACGGAATGAGAAGAAGGAGAATCATTGGTCACATGATCCTTGTAAGACGTGGCCCCCGGGACACAGACAGCCCCACTGGCCTCCTGTGTGTTGCTATGGACAACCACTCTGGGTCCCGGCCTCTGGTCAGCGTGTCTCCTGGCATGTAGCATGGACTTCTCTCTGCTGGACCTTCTCTCCAGCCGTGACACATTCACATTTCCCACAATGACCAATCATGGCTCACAGGCCAAGTCCAAGCCCCCACACCATACAAGGCTGCTTATTGGGTGTTAGTGAGCTAGGTGAGGTTAGTTAGTGGTGTGTTAGGAGGGTGTAGTCAGTGTCGTGGTGTCAGTGTTGTGGTGTCAGTGTTGTGGTGTCAGTGTCGTGGTGTCAGTGTGGTCAGGTGGTGTCATTATTGTGGCATCAGTGCTGTGGTGTCAGTGTTGTGGCATCAGTGCTGTGGTGTCAGTGTTGTGGCATCAGTGTCAGTGCATCAGTGTGGTGTCAGTGTGTGGTGTCAGTGTTGTGGTGTCAGTGTTGTGGTGTCAGTGTTGTGGTGTCAGTGTTGTTGGTGTCAGTGTCAGTGCAGTGTGTGGTGTCAGTGTTGTGGTGTCAGTGTTGTGGTGTCAGTGTGGTGTCAGTGTCGTGGTGTCAGTGTTGTGGTGTCAGTGTGTGTGGTGTCAGTGTTGTGTGGTGTCAGTGTCGTGGTGTCAGTGTTGTGGTGTCAGTGTTGTGGTGTCAGTGTCAGTGTTGTGGTGTCAGTGTGTGGTGTCAGTGTTGTGGTGTCAGTGTTGTGGTGTCAGTGTTGTGGTGTCAGTGCTGTGGTGTCAGTGTGTGGTGTGTCAGTGTCGTGGTGTCAGTGTCGTGGTGTCAGTGTTGTGGTGTCAGTGTGTGTGGTGTCAGTGATGTGGTGTCAGTGTGTTGTTTTTACAATGCCTCTACATCACTGCTCTTCCCATTCTTTTTTCTTTGTGATTTTCTTTCTGTTGCTGCATCTTTAGTGTTCCCCTTTTTGTTGCCGGTGTTCCTCCTGCGTCAGCACTGGTTTCCTTTTCTTTTTTTTTTTATTGTATTTTATTTTATTTTTTGGCTGCAGAACTAAAACCATTTGCGGCATAATTGCTGCCCCGTCTGTGTTCCTCCTTCTGTATCAGCAGTAGATCCCTTTTGTTGTCACAGCAGCTGAAATATTGGGGTGTCATTGCTGTCCCCCTTCTCAGCCGCAGGTGTTCCTCCTTCTACATCACAATTCTTTTCTTCTCTTTATTAATTTTTTTTACATTTTTTTTTACTGCCGCGGCCAAAACACATGAAAGTTTCCATAGTTACTGAACCCCAATTTTCTGTAAAAACAATAAACCCCCCCAGTCTATAGTGCGCCAAGCACAACATATTGCACCCCAGCACCAAAATCCCATCCCCCACAGAAAATAAAGGGGGATTTATTATTATTATTATTATTATTATTATTATTATTATACAGTATTTATAAAGCGCCAATAGTTGGCTCAGCGCTGTACATTACAGAGGGGGACAGAACATGTGACAGAACAATACCAATACAATGTGATATATGAGGGGATTGAGGGTCCTGCTCTTTCGAGCTTACAATCTAGGATGGAGGGGATGGTGGTACAGGAGGAGATAGCTGTGGGGGATGGGGTGGTAGGAAGAGTGGAGGAGGTCAGCAAGTTAGCAGGGGGTGGGGTAGGCTTCCCTGAGAGGATGGGTTTTCAGGGTGCGCCTAAAGGAGGAGGAGAGTAGGTGATAATCTGATGGGTTGGGGCAGGGAGTTCCAGAGGATGGGTGACACCCTGGAGAAGTCCTGGAGGTGGGCATGGGAGGAGGAGATCAGGGAACTAGAGAGTAGGAGGTCTTGTGAGGAGCAGAGTGTGCGTGTTGGGTGGTACTTGGATATTAGGTCGGTGATGTAGTTCGGGGCAGTATGGTGGACGGCTTTGTACGTCAGTGTTAGGATTGTGAATTTGATCCGTTGCGCAATCGGAAGCCAGTGGAGGGATTGGCAGAGGGGGTGGAGGACACTGAGTGGAGGGATTGGCAGAGGGGGGTGGAGGACACTGAGTGGAGGCCAGTGGAGGGATTGGCAGAGGGGGGTGGAGGACACTGAATGGAGGCTAGTGGAGGGATTGGCAGAGGGGGGTGGAGGACACTGAGTGGAGGCCAGTGGAGGGATTGGCAGACGGGGGTGGAAGACACTGAGTGGAGGCCAGTGGAGGGATTGGCAGAGAGGGGTGGAGGACGCTGAGTGGAGGCCAGTGGAGGGATTGGCAGAGAGGCGTGGAGAACACTGAGTGGAGGCCAGTGGAGGGATTGGCAGAGAGGGATGGAAGACACTGAGTGGAGGCCAGTGGAGGGATTGGCAGAGGGGGGTGGAGGACACTGAGTGGAGGCCAGTGGAGGGATTGGCAGAGAGGGATGGAGGACACTGAGTGGAGGACAGTGGATGGATTGGCAGAGGGGGGTGGAGGACACTGAGTGAAGGCCTGTGGAGGGATTGGCAGAGAGGGATGGAGGACACTGAGTGGAGGCCAGTGGAGGGATTGGCAGAGAGGGATGGAGGACACTGAGTGGAGGCCTGTGGAGGGATTGGCAGAGGGGTGTTGAGGACACTGAGTGGAGGCCAGTGGAGGGATTGGCAGAGGGGGGTGGAGGACACTGAGTGGAGGCCAGTGGAGGGATTGGCAGAGGGGGGTGGAGTACACTGAATGGAGGCCAGTGGAGGGATTGGCAGAGGGGGGTGGAGGACACTGAGTGGAGGCCAGTGGAGGGATTGGCAGAGGGGGGTGGAGGACACTGAGTGGAGGCCAGTGGAGGGATTGGCAGAGGGGGGTGGAGGACACTGAGTGGAGGCCAGTGGAGGGATTGGCAGATGGGGGTGGCGGAGAGGGAGCGGTTGGAAAGGTGAATGAGTCTGGCAGCCGTATTCAGGATGGACTGAAGCGGGGATAGCCTGTGGTGAGGCAGGCCAGTGAGGAGGGAGTTGCAGTAGTCGAGTCGTGATATGATGAGGGAGTGGATGAGCTGTTTAGTGGTTTCTGGGGTTAGGAACGTGCGGATTTTGGCGATGTTGCGGAGGCGGTGTCTGCATGTTGCGGAGGCGGAGTCTGCATGTTGCAGAGGCGGAGTCTGCATGAGTTTGTTAAAGATTGGACTTGGGGCTGGAAGGATAGGTTGGAGTCCAGAATGACACCAAGTACTCTGGCCTGCGGGGCGGGTTTGATGGTGGCGTTGTTGGATGTGATGGAGAAGTCAATGGGGGGGTGGGGTCCGGGCTGGGGGGGAAGACAAGAAACTCGGTCTTGGAAAGGTTCAGTTGAAGGAAGTGGAGCGACATCCAGCCTGATATGTCGCTCAGCAGGTGTGTGTTTCGGGTGGAGACCGAGGGGTGAGGTGGGGGGTTGAGAGATCGATTTGTGTGTCGTCGGCATAGAGGTGGTAGTTGAAGCCGTGAGAGTGTATGAGTTGGCCAAGGGAGGAGGTGTAGATGGAGAAGAGAAGGGGCCCAAGGACAGAGCCTTGAGGGACCCCAACAGAGAGGGGGAGTGAGGGGGAGGTGGTAGCATTATAGGTAACGCTGAAGGAGCGTTGTGACAGGTAGGATGAGAGCCAGGAGAGAGCAGAATCTCTGAGGCCGAGGGAGTGTAGTTTTTTGAGGAGGAGGGGGTGGTGGTGGACTGTGTGGAAGGCCGCAGAGAGGTCAAGGAGTAGGAGTACTGAATAGTGGCCATTAGCTTTGGCGGTTAGCAGGTCGTTGGAGAGTTTGAGTAAGGCGGTTTCGGTGGAGTGTAGGGTGGGTTCGGTGGAGTGTAGGGGGTTTCGGTGGAGTGTAGGGGACGGAAGCCGGACTGTAGGGGATCGAGGAGGTTGTGTTGTCGTTGAGGTGAGAGCATAGGCGGGTGTAGACTAGGCGCTCGAGGAGTTTAGATGTAAATGGGAGCAGGGAGATGGGTCTGAGGTTGTTCGGGTCATTGGGGTCCAGGGAATTTTTTTTAAGTATGGGGGTGATGTGTGCATGTTTCAGAGGGGAGGGGAAAGTGCCGGAGGAGAGGGAGAGATTAAAGATGTGGGTGAGGGAGCGTAGGATGGAGGGGGAGGGAGGTCATAGGAATTGTGAAGGGATAGGGTTGAGGGGGCAGGTGGTGAGGCGGGCATCAGAGAGGATCTTGGAGACTTCTTCGATGGTAGTAAGGTCAAAGGTGTGGAGTGTTGGGGAGCCTTCAGTATGAGGAATGTAGGGTGGGGTGGAAGTGGAGGTCAGAGCAGTGGTGGGGCCGTGGGAGAGGGGTGATGAGGGGGTAGCTGAGGAGGGGGAACGGGGTTGGAGGGAGTTTGAGCAGCGATGAAGTCCCTGCGGGTTATGTAGAGGGGGGGGGGGGATGAGGGGGTAGCTGTGTGAGAGGGGACGGGTTGAGAGGGTGTGTGATGGGTGCGGCGATGTCCTTGCGAATTGTGTCAATCTTGTTTTTGAAGTGATTGGCAATCTCAAGGGCGGTGAGTGAGGTGCTGGGTGGAGGTGGGGGTGGCGAGAGTAGAGAGTTGAAGGTGGAGAAGAGTCGGCGAGGATTGGAGGAGAGGGCCTTGATGAGGGTCAGGAAGTAGACTTGTTTGGCTGCGTGGAGGGAGGAGGTGTAGGTGTGGAAGGCAAATTTGTAGCGGGTGAAGGCTTGTTGGGATTTTAGGGGGAAATCCCCTAAAGTCCCCAACATGTCGGAAAGGCCAAGAAGGAGAGGCAGATTCTCACAGGCAGCTAAGAGAGGGCAAGCAGCCTCTGTGTCCACAGTGACCAGTGGTGGCCGTGGACATTGGTGGATCCTCTGCAGGCAGGGCACGCTTGTCCTTTGTTTCTGGTGCTGGCTGTATTATTGAGCCACAACATGCAGAAGAGGTGGGGATGAGGGGATAACTCAGCCATCCTCATCCTCCTCATCCTCTGTCACCCAGACATCACATGACAGAGCTCCACAGGGGCGGGGCACTGCTGACTCCATGCAGACTTCCACAAGTTCTCTGGTGGGGACTTATTCCAACCAACATGTGCAGCAGATCGCAGCATTGCTATTTGTAGTCTCTGTCTGAAGCAGATCAAGCGTGGCCAAAACACCAGCCGCTTGGGCACCACATGCTGGACCACACATATGATGAGCCGCCATGCAACCCATTGGCAACAGCACCTGAAAGGCCCACATCCGAAAACAGTGCAGACTTCTTCTTGGTCCTCATCTGGGATCTCTACCTCCTCTGTAATACATCCGGTCTTCTCAACAGCCTCCCCTGAGAGGAGTGATGGTACAGCAATGGGTGCCACAGGTTCTGCACCCCATCTGATAGCAGTACACCACCTGATCATTTCAGCAAGAACATTTCACTACCCCATTTGCTGAACCATGAAAAAAATACTGTCCCGCCCATCCACATGTCCCACACATCCGCATGTCCCGCCCATCCACAGGTCCTACCCATCCACATGTCCCACCCATCCACATGTCCCACCCATCCACAGGTCCCACCCATCCACATGTCCCCGCCCATCCACATGTCCCACCCATCCACATGTCCCACCCGTCCAGATGCTCAGCATCTAAATGCTAGCCTGGCCAAATTGCTGCATTACAACTATCTGCCTTTCCATCTGGTGGACTCCGCCCCCTTTCCTGGAATTTGCAGAATGTTCTGTACCACAGTGACAGGTTCTGAAAGACAATTCTTATCACGTAAGGCCATTCCAGCTCTGTACCATCATGTGGAAGGCAATGTATTGGCCTTGGACAGGGCAGTCAGCAGCAAGGTCCACATTACTAACACGTGGTCCAGCAGGCGTGGTCAGGGACGTTACATATCCTTCACGGCACACTGGGTGACTCTGCTAGCAGCTGGGAAGGATGCAGGACAGGGTTCAGTGCTGGAGCTTGTTCCACCACCACGCCTCCAAAAATCTAGTGGTGATTCTGCCACATGTGTCTGCCCCACCCCCTCCTCTTCCTCTGCCTCTATGGCCTCTTCTGCTGAATTGTCCTCTGAACCAGCAGTGCTCCGTAAGCATTCAAGGGGCTACACAAGCAGTCAGGCTAAGAGATGCCACGTGGTGCTTCAGCTGGTCTGTCTAGGGGACAGGAGTCACACCGGGCCAGAGATTCTGTCAGCTCTGCAGGGGCCGGCTCAGAGATGGTTGACACCACAGCAGATTGAGCCATGAATGGTTGCATGTGACTATGGCACCACCCTTCTCTGCCCTCCAACAGGGACACTTGGCACATGTTCCATGCATGGCACACGTCCTGAATTTGGTGGTGCAGTGTTTCTTGAACAGGTACCCAGGCTTTCAAGATCTTCTGAGGCAGGCCAGAAAAGTCTGTGGCCATTTCCGGTGGTCATACACGCCCAGTGTTCGTCTGGCTGACATTCAACGGGAATTCAACCTGCCCACCAACCACCTCATTTGTGACATGTCCACCAGGTGGAACCCAACATTGGCAATGCTGCAGCGGCTGCACACACACAGCAGAGGGCCAACAATGAGTACCTGTGTGAATATGGCACAAGGACAGGCTCAGGGGAACTTGGCTTCTTTTTCACCTCACCAGTGGCTGCTGAAAAGGATGCATGCCTGTCCTGTCACCATTTGAGGGGCCACAGGGATGGTGAGCCGTGACAATGCATGTATCAGTGACATTATCCCTCTAGTCTTCCTGCTGGAGCACACGCTGCGTGGAATCATGGACAGGGCACTTGAGGAAGAACAGAGGGAGGAAGAGGAGGATTTCCTGTCCTCTCAATGGCCCCCTTTATGCAGAAACCATTCCTGAGGGGCCACAAAACACACAGCAGGAGGAGGAAGAGAAGGAGGAGGATTGCAGCACCATGGAAGTAGAGGATCACATACAGCAGTCTTCAAGGGGTGGTTTTCAGTCCCAAGAACCCCAACCAGGAGTAGTACATGGATGGGAGGAGGTAGTTCCTGACAATGTCATCCTCAGTGACCCAGAGGACTCAGAATCTCCTGCCTCCTCAAACTTACTCTGCATGGGCTCCCTGATTCTGCAAAGCCTGCATAAGGGCCCGAGGATTCGTGGTATCAAGGAGAGGGATCAGTACTGGTTGTCAACCTCTCTTGATCCACGTTACAAGGGTGAAGTTGCAGAGCTCCTCCAGCCTTCACAGAGGGAGCAGAGGATGAAACATCTTGAGGACACCATGAAAAACATTTGTGTAACACTTGTCCAGACAATGGGAGGTCACCATTTCCTGGACAACGTGTTTTCTGAGGCTTCGTTCTGTCAAAGGAAGAGTGGTGGAGAAGGTGGCCGGCTGACCGATGCCTTCAAACAGTTCTTTAGTCCTCAGTGCCCAGGGATGTTAGGTTTAAGCACCCATCGGCAGGGTCTGCATCATATGGTGCAGGATGATCTAGAGGGGCAAGAGCAGACTTGGAGACCTTTCCAACTGAACATCCACTGGGTTACTGGGTCTTGGGATGGATCACTGGCCAGAACTTGCTCAATATGCCATCCAGCTACTGACCTGTCTGCACCCAGCGTGCTTTCCGAACGGACATTCAGTGCTGCTGGAGGTTTTGTGACGGATAAAAGAGTGCGTCTGTCCACAGACTCCGCTGACCAGCTGACATTTATCAACATGAATCAGTCCTGGATCAACAGCAACTATCTTGTCCCTGATGCTGATGTAACTGATTCCATTTGTTAGGGATCTGGGATCCCTTGAAGACTGCCTATGCTGCCTATCCTATTCCTCAATCCTTATGGTCGCTTCCAACTATTTGTTTGGTTTAGGGCCCCACCAACACTCAAGGCACAATTTTTTGGCCCCCGTTTTCACAGGTGCATGTCATTTCAATGTTTGTTTACCATTTTTTCTGTAATTGTTATCAATTTTAAACTGCGGGGCCCCTGCCTGCGCCCAGCAAGAGTGACTGTGAGGGGTTACAGTGTTCAGGCACCACCAACACCCAAGGCCCAATTTTATTTATTTTGTACCCCTTACTCATTCACAAGGGGGACAGCATCAGGGTGCCCCCTTATTTAAAGGTGTACACTAATGCTAATGAGCCCCCTGCCTGCAGACCCCCACAACCAGGGCTTTGGGGAAGAGGCCCTTGTCTCCATGCTGAGGTCATGTGTCCTGGTAAGGCCCAGAGAGGGGAGGGCCACTCGTTCATCCCCCCTTTCAGGCCTACCAGGCCTGTGCTCGGATCAAGGGTCTGGTAGGACGTTAGGAGGGACCCCACACTTTTTCCACCTGTTTGTGGGGGGTGGGGTTCTCCTTAGAAGGCCTATAAGGTCTAAAGGGCCTGGTGTGGCTTTTAGGGGGAACTTCACACACTTTAAAAAAAAATCACTGTGGGGTCCCTCCTAACCTTCCCACCGGACCTAAAGGGTCTGTTATGGATTAGGGGGACCCCACATGGCTTTTTTTTTAATAAAAATGTCAGCAGGTCCTATACATTGTACAGATGTGCAACTTTGCAGGGAGTTTATGGGACCCCCCCAGGCATGATAATTACATTTTTCATTTTTTTTTTGTTTTTTTTTCCTTTTAGCAATGAAAAATGACAGCCCTTTTAAAAACGTACTTTTTTTCCCCCACTGATTCCTGTCCCTCAGGGCCGTCCCCCGAGTCCCCATACCACTTCTGGGGCCAATAACTGGCATAAAAGCCTTCAGAATGGACACTTTTCCATTTACAAGTTCCAGTCCCATAGGACTTGCATTGAGTTCGAAGTTTGCAGTTGAACTTTCGTCAAGTTGGAATGTTGGACCGCGAACCGAACAGGGGGGTGTTGGACCCGTCACTACTTATTACATGTCTGTGTCCTTCTGTAGAAGAATTCTTCTAGCTACGTGTCTCAGTCCCAGCCTCTCCCTGTGTAGGAATGTACACCTCGCCCCGTGTAGGAGGGTACAGAACGGGTCACATTGGATACGGAGTGTCAGAGACTTTCCCCGTCATTCTGTCTTCTGCTCTCAGCGATGGCGTCTGCTGATCTGAGGAAGGAGCTGGAATGTTCCGTCTGTCTGAACATTTATACAGATCCTGTAACCCTGAGATGTGGACACAACTTCTGCCGGGACTGTATTGGCCGTGTGTTGGATACACAGGAGGAGTCTGGAGGTTATTCCTGTCCTGAATGCAGAGAAGAGTTCCAGGAATGTCCTGCACTGAGGAGGAACATAACACAACGTAACATAGTGGAGAACTTCCAGTCTACCCATCCAGAGCAGGAGGAGTCCGGGGTCTTCTGTACTCACTGTATTCACACTCCTGTACCGGCTGTGAAATCCTGTCTGCTGTGTGAAGCTTCTCTGTGTGACAACCACCTGAGAGTCCACAGCAAGTCACCAGAACACGTCCTATGTGACCCCACCACTTCCCTGAAGGACAGAGATGCTCCATCCATAAGGAACTACTGAAGTATTACTGCACCGAGGACTCCACCCTGTATCTGTGTTCCTGCAGGCTGGATGGAGAACATCGGGGACACCAGGTGGAGACTCTTGGAGGAGGCCTCTGAGATGAAGAAGAAGAAACTGAGGAATGTTCTGCAGAAACTGATGACAGAGAGAGAGGAGATGGAGAAAAGAGTCCAGAGTCTGCAGGAACGCAGGAGGAAAGTACAAGGAAAAGCAGATGATGAAACCAAGAGAGTCACTGCCCTGTTCAGAGGACCTCAGGAGACATCTGGAAGACCTGGAGAAGAGAGTCCTGAGGGACATCTCCGGGTGGGCAGAGCGGGTCTCCCGTCCCATGTTGGATTATATTCGGGATCTGGAAATAAAGAAGGAGAGCTGTCCAGGAAGATGAGGGACATTGAGGAGCTGTGTAAACATGACGGATCCACTGACTGTCCTACAGAATCAGACACAGGTGACTTGTGTGATACTGAGGATGGAGATGATGAGGACAGAGAGAGACATGAGAAGCTCCTCCATGATGGAGGGATGGGGATGTGGGGGGGATCTCACACACATTACACACGGGTTTATCTGATATCATGTTGGGGTCAATGTACAGAAATGTACAGGCACACATGTCTCTCCACATTCTACTACAAAGGGCAAAGGTCCCATCAATGGTCCACCATCCAGGCCAGACCCTCAACACTCCCCCACTGGAGGACCAAATATTGGGGCTGTACAGCAAACACGGGGGGTGTCGGGGTTACAGACATATTACTGGATGTGAGGACAGCTGGTAATCATCTACATATATCAGATGACGGAAAAACTGCATCCAGGTCATCATCACATCAGAATCGCCCAGAAACACCAGAGAGGTTCCAGGATCCTCAGGTGATGAGCAGTCAGAGCTTCTCCTCCGGGAGACATTTACTGGGACGTGGATGTCGGGGAGGCAGGGGCACTGGACAGTCGGGATGTGTTACTCCAATATAGACAGGAGAGGAGGTCAGTCACTGATAGGATATAATAAGAAGTCCTGGGGGTTGGAGGTGTTGTGGATTAATCAGTACTCAGTGTGGTACATGACAGTAATAGGACCCCATTCCCGGCGGGTGTCTCCAGTACCAGAGTCAGGATAGATCTGGATTATGAGGCCGGGCGGATCTCCTTCTATGATCTGTGTAACCCGATCCGACACCTCCACACCTTCACCACCACCTTCACTCAGCCCCTCCATGTCGGGGTATGTGTATGGAGAGGATGTATAACGATATGTTAGAGGACGGGGTTTATGACAATTAAAAAATGACAGGTTTATTGGAAGTTTCCAATTGACAGTTATTTTTATTAAGTTGAAAAATTAGTTTTTTTGACAGTTGAAAATTAGTATTTTTTTGGTCATTTAAAAAATTACAGTTATATTTTCAGTTTAAAATGAGTTATTTTTTACAGTTGAAAAATGACAGTTTATATTTGACAGTGGCAAAAAATGGCAATTGAAAAATTATGGTTTTATTGACAGTTTAAAAATGACAGTTAATATTTGTTGATAAAAAGGAGTTATTTTTTACAATTAGAAATGAGTGTTTTTTTGTCTATTGAAATATAAGAATTATTTTTTGTCAGTTGAAAATTGACAAAAAAAATTTGACATTTGCAAACAAATGATAATTGAAAAATTTGGTATTTTCGACATTTTAACCATTAGCCGCCCGGCCTATAGCCCTTGGTGGCCGCAAAAATGCTCTAGCTTTCTGGGTGCACACCATTTGGCGTCCTCCCAGTTCACGTGCTTGCAGAGCTGCGCAGCAGTGCGATCTGTCACTGGCCGTGTACCTTGGTCACGGCTGATGACAGATCCGAGTACCGGCTCCCATTGCTGGTACCATGTGACCTGCTGTCACCAATCACAGCAGGTCACATGACAGTTGTATACAATGGATGGCTTCATTCATGCCATCCATTGTATACTAGTGCCTAGCTGTGAATGGTCACAGAGGTCACATGCACATGTCATGTGATTAGCTGTGACCAAATCACAGCTAAGCACAAAAAACCCCCCCCAAAAAACCCTGAATGAATCGATGTCATTGAGGTAAATGCTTGTTTATATAAAGTAATTCTTTGCTGTAAGCAAATTGTGTAAAAAAAAAAAAAAAAATACTGATCACTTCCCCAAAGTAGTACAATGTTACTATGGTAACATTATACTACTTTGGTCATAGTAAAATATGAAAAAACAATCTTAAATTTTTTTTTAAAAAAATGTAATAAAAAATTAAAAATAATAATAAAAAAATATATATATATATTTTTTTTCATACTGTCACCAGTCAGTGTCCCTGATCACCGCCATACCAGTTATATGATGACGCTGTACTGCACTGGTGACAGGATGTAAAAAAAAAAAAAAATAGTGAAAATAAGTTTTTTAATTTTTTCATTTTCCGAAAAATTATGACAAAAAAAATACAACTTAAAAAAACTGTCTACTCTGCAAAAAGGGGTCATTTGGGGGATATCTGTACTGTTCTGACATTTGGGGGATATCTGTACTGTCCTGACATTTGGGGGATATCCTGACATTTGTACCGTCCTGACATTTGGGGGATATCTGTACTGTCCTGACATTTGGGGGATATCTGTACTGTCCTGACATTTGGGGGATATCTGTACTGTTCTGACATTTGGGGATATCTGTACTGTCCTAACATTTGGGGGATATCTGTACCGTCCTGACATTTGGGGGATATCTGTACCGTCCTGACATTTGGGGGGATATCTGTACCGTCCTGACATTTGGGGGATATCTGTACTGTCCTGACATTTGGGGATATCTGTACTGTTCTGACATTTGGGGGATATCTGTACTGTTCTGACATTTGGGGGATATCTGTACCGTCCTGACATTTGGGGGATATCTGTACTGTTCTGACATTTGGGGGATATCTGTACTGTCCTGACATTTGGGGGATATCTGTACTGTTCTGACATTTGGGGGATATCTTTACTGTCCTGACATTGGGGGATATATGTACCGTCCTGACATTTGGGGGATATCTGTACCGTCCTGACATTTGGGGGATATCTGTACCGTCCTGACATTTGGGGGATATCTGTCCTGTTCTGACATTTGGGGGATATCTGTACCGTCCTGACATTTGGGGGATATCTGTACTGTCCTGACATTTGGGGGATATCTGTACTGTTCTGACATTTGGGGGATATCTTTACTGTCCTGACATTTGGGGGATATCTGTACTGTCCTGACATTTGGGGGATATCTGTACCGTCCTGACATTTGGGGGATATCTGTACTGTCCTGACATTTGGGGGATATCTGTACTGTCCTGACATTTGGGGGATATCTGTACTGTTCTGACATTTGGGGGATATCTGTACTGTTCTGACATTCTTGGACCTCAAGAAATTAGATTGGCTGTCAGTACTTCAGGATTGATCAATATTCAGATCTATCCCATAATTTGTGAACTCTATAACTTTCCTACAAACTAAATAATACATCCTAATTTGGGTTATTCTCACCAAAGACATGTAGCAGAATACATCTCGGCCTAAATTTATGAAGAACAATTATTTATTTGTAAACTTTTATAACAGAAACAAAGAAAAAATGTGGGGTTTTTTTTTTTCAAAATTTTTGGTCTTTTTTTGTTAATTTAGCAAAAAATAAAAACCCCAGCGATGATTAAATACCACCAAAAGAAAGCTCTAGTTGTGTGAAGAAAATGATAAAATTTTAGTTTGGGTACAATGTTGTATGACCGCGCAATTGTCATTCAAAGTGTGAGAGCGCTGAAACCTGAAAACTGGCCTGTGGGGGAGGGGGTAAAATTGCCCGGTATTGAATTGGTTAAAAATGACTTTTTTGTCAGTTAAAATTTTTTTTTTTTGAAAACCAACAGTTATATTTGAGAGTAGAACAATTAGTTATTTTGGAAAGTTCAAAAAATGGCAATTGAAAAATGAGGGTTTTTTTGACAGTAGAAAAATTTGTTGTAAAAAAGTGAAAAATAATTGTCATTTTTCAACTGACAAAAAATTACTAATTTGTTTACAATTACAAATAAAACATCATTTTTAGATGTCAAAAATAACTGACAAAAAATAATGCATTTTTCTACTGTCAAAATTAAATGTAATTTTTCAATTGACAAAAAAACCCTCTTTTTAAATGTGATTTTATTTTTTTACTGTCAAAAATTATCTGCATTTTATTGCCAGTGTAAAATACTGTCATTTTTTCAACTGTCAAATATAACTGACATTTTTTGACTGTTAAAAAAAAATAGATGACTTTTTTCAACTGTAAGTAAACCCTAATTTTTACGACAAAAAATAACTGTCATTTTTCAACTTTAAAAAAACCTAATTTTTTAATGACCATTTTTTTCCACTGTCAAAAATTACCTGTCATTTCTTTTGCTACTGTAAAAAAATTAACTGTCATTTTCAACTGTCGAAAAAAAAAACCTCTTTTTTTAAATGTGATTTTTTTTTTTCACTGTCAAAAATGATCTGCATTTTATTTTCACTGTAAAAAAAAATTTCCAACTGTCAAATATAACTGTCGTTTTTCAACTGTTAAATGTAATGTTTCAACTGTAAAAAAAAAAAAAAAAAAAATTTTAACAACAAAAAATAACTCATTTTTCAACTGTCAAAAAACCCTCATTTTTCAACTGTCATTTTTTCCACTGTCAAAAATTACCTGTCATTATCAATTGTCGAAAAAAACTCCTCATTTTTCGACTGTCATTTTATTGCCACTGACAAAAAAAATATATTTTTTGCAAAAATAAAAATATAACTGTAATTTTTCAACTTTAAAAAATGTTTTTTTTTACAACAAGAAATAGCTGTCATTTTCAACTGTCAAAACACACTCATTTTTCAATTTCCATTTTTTTCCACTGTAAAAAATTAACTGTCATTTTCAAATGTCAAATATAACAAATTTTTCAACTGACATTTTTTTTTTTCTTTTAATGACAACAAAAACATTTTTTTATTAACTGTCAAAAATAACTGTCATTTTTGCCACTGTCATTTTTTTTTACTGACAAAAAAACCCTAATTTTTCTACTGTCAAAAATAAATTTGTTTTTAACTGACAAAAAAATAACTCTGTAAGAAAAAAATTGTACTTTTTCAACTAAAAAAACTATCATTTTTCAACTATCAAAAAAAACCCTCTTTATTACATGTGATTTTTCTTTCACTGTCAAAAATTATCTGCATTTTATTGCCACTGTAAAAATATAACTGTCGTTTTTCAACTGTTAAAAATAAATGTAATTTTTCAATAGTAAAAAATAACTCATTTTTTACGACAAAAATAATTTTTCACTGTCAAAAATGATCTGCATTTTATTGCCACTGTAAAAAAAAAAACCTGTCATTTTTCAACTGACAAAAAAACAGTAATTTTTCAACTGTCAAAAAACCCTAATTTTTCAAATATACACTAATTTTCTGTAAAATATAACTGTCATTTTTCAACTGTTAAATGTCATTTTTCAACTGTAAAAAAAAAATAATTTTTGACAAATAATAACTGTCATTTTTCAACTGTCAAAAAAAAACTCATTTTTCAATTGCTATTTTTTCAAAATGTCAAAAATACATTTTTCAACTGACAAAAAAATAACTCTGCTTTTTTAACTGTCAATAATAACTGTCATTTTTTAAACATCACAAAATCACGGATTGTGGGCGTGTCCAGAGCAGTCTGATTGGCTGCATCCCCCCCAGCTCTGCTGTACTCACAGTTCCAGCACACAGCAGTGGGCGGAGCTGACACCCCAGAGGAGAGGCAACAGCCCGGTGACCCTCAGGGAGATGACAAAGAAGAGGAAAGCTGAGAGGAAGCTCCTCCCCTCGGGGGGATCCCAGCCATCCCCAACATGGTGGCAGCAGCAGCTCAGGATCCTCCTCCTCTCACTCAGCACACAGCTTCTCCTGTGACACCTTGTTAAGCAGGTGTCAGCGCTCTCTCCTCCTGCAGCCGGTCTCCTCTGCGTAGAATGACAGATATGAGCCCACAGCATGCTGGGACAGATTCTCCCACTAATACTTCCCATTCTGCAAGTCATTTCTCCCATCCAATGGGTAAGTCTCCTCCTACTAGTCCGCCTATTTCTCATCCATTCATGAAGGAGACATCATCCATACCGTCACCTATCATTCACTCTGCAACCAATCAGAGATGAAGGATCTCCGCCACAGAGCTGGGAGACTCCGCCCCTTCCTTTACCACCCTAGTAGACACGCCCACCAGCAAAGGGATGAAGAAAGGGATTGGCTGAAACATAAAGTGTCAGCTCTGGAGGATAGATCACGGCGTAACAACATCCAATAAGAGGCATTCCAGAATCCATCCAACTCGACCAATCGGGAGCCGATCCCCGAGAGCTCTTTCCTGGCCTCCTACCTGAGGCTACAAACCCAGATGTGACCATGGATGGAATTCATGACCTTCCCAAACCTCCTATGTGACACCTAAATCCCCCCACATGTCTCCATGACAACTCATTGTTGTCACCTCCAACAACGAATCCCGCAAATGGCGCCCAAACCCCAACCTGTGCCTGCGCCATTCTCCTCTTTACAGCTTTTCACAGATTTATCTAAGCGCCCCCTTTCCAGTCCGGACACTTTTCACCCCCTTCCAGTCCGGACACTTTCCCCCCTTCCAGTCCGAACACTTTCCCCCCCTTCCAGGCCGGACACTTTCACCCTCTTCCAGTCTGGACACTTTCCTCCCTTCCAGTCCGGACACTTTCACCCCCTTCCAGTCCGGACACTTTCCCCCCCCTTCCAGGCCGGACACTTCCCCCCCTTCCAGTCTGGACACTTCCACTCCTTCCACTCCAGACACTTTCACCCCCCTTCCAGTCTGGACAGTTCCCCCTTTCCAGTCCAGACAATTTGCCCCCCCTTCCAGTCCGGACACTTTCCCCCCTTCCAGTCCGTACACTTTCCCCACCTTCCAGTCTGGACATTTTCCCCCCCTTCCAGTCCAGACACTTTCACCCCCTTCCAGTCTAGACATTTCCCCCCCTTCCAGTCCGGACACTTTCACCCCCTTCCAGTGCGGACACTTTCACCCCCTTCCAGTGCGGACACTTTCACCCCCTTCCAGTCCGGATACTTTCACCCCCTTCCAGTCTGGACACTTTCCCCCCCTTCCAGTCCGGACACTTTCACCCCCTTCCAGTCCGGACACTTTCACCCCCTTCCAGTCCGGACACTTTCACCCCCTTCCAGTCCGGACACTTTCACCCCTTCCAGTGCGGATACTTTCCCCCCTTCCAGTCCGGACACTTTCCCCCCCTTCCAGTCCGGACACTTTCACCCCCTTCCAGTCCGGACACTTTCCCCCCCCTTCCAGTCCGGACACTTTCACCCCCTTCCAGTGCGGACACTTTCACCCCCTTCCAGTCCGGACACTTTCACCCCCTTCCAGTCTGGACACTTTCACCCTTTCCAGTCCGGACACTTTCCCCCCCTTCCAGTCTGGACACTTTCACCCCCTTCCAGTCCGGACACTTTCCCCCCTTCCAGTCCGGACACTTTCCCCCCCTTCCAGTCCGGACACTTTCCCCCCTTCCAGTCCGGACACTTTCACCCCCTTCCAGTCCGGACACTTTCCCCCCCTTCCAGTCCGGACACTTTCACACCCCTTCCAGTGCGGACACTTTTCACCCCCTTCCAGTCCGGACACTTTCACCCTTTCCAGTCCGGACACTTTCCCCCCCTTCCAGTCTGGACACTTTCACCCCCTTCCAGTCTGGACACTTTCACCCTTTCCAGTCCGGACACTTTCCCCACCTTCCAGTCTGGACACTTTCACCCCCTTCCAGTCCGGACACTTTCCCCCCTTCCAGTCCGGACACTTTCCCCCCTTCCGGTCCGGACACTTTCCCCCCCCTTCCAGTCCGGACACTTTCACCCCCTTCCAGTCCGGACACTTTCACCCCCTTCCAGTCCGGACACTTTCCCCCCTTCCAGTGCGGACACTTTCACCCCCTTCCAGTGCGGACACTTTCACCCCCTTCCAGTCCGGACACTTTCACCCCCTTCCAGTCTGGACACTTTCACCCTTTCCAGTCTGGGCACTTCCTGTCAGGGATCCAGGTATGACCAGAGATGTGTGGACTGACACAGGGAAACAGCAGGCTTCAGAAATGATTAAATAATAATAGTATTTATTATGAGCTGCAGAAAATAAACAAACGCAGTGCAAAACAAAACAAAGCTTAAACTAATAGGTACCGGTGCAGTCAGGGCTGGAGAGGGGGAGTGGTCAGGCAGGCCGGGTCAGGAACAATCAGGCAGAAAGGTACAACAGGAGCAGGCAGAAGAATGGTCAGGAATAGCCGGGGTCAGTGCAGGCGGAGTTCTATCAGAGTCAGAGTCAAGCAGGAGAGTCGAGCAGGCAGGAGACAGGAAACAGGGCACATGGGAAACAAACACCAAGGCACTGACTGCAGGTCTGGCCATTCCTTAAATACACCTCCTGCCTCAGGTGATGGCTGACTGCAGGAGTGACCTTCTGGTTGCTGGGAGCACCCGCTGGCCAGCCCTGGTACTGCAGCCCACAGAGCAGGTGAGCCACAGCACCACCAGTGCTGAGTCTTTTCCTGATGGGTGTGGTCGCAAGGTGGAAAGCTCTGCTGAGCTCCAGGAAGGCCCGAGAAGCCTGGGGCTAAAGTGCCCTGCTCAAGCCCAGTGAGGATGGCAAATCCTGGGCCTGAGTCCAGCAGTGGGAGACCCCCAGAGGGGCCTAGTACCGGTCCTGGCTTCCCATCTGTGGAGGACCTGGAAACAGCCCCAAAGAAGGGGGAAGGATACGCGGAGTATAGAGGCCGGGTAGCTGCCCGAATAAAGACCGTGGAGAAAGAGGAGGCCAAGCTGGTCAAATTGAGCATGGAGCTCAAGAAGATGCGCTCCAGTTATGATCGGGTCTGGAGCTCAAAAAGACAGGCCACGAAGCCTGGTCTGGAGGTCTTAAAGCAGCGGGTCTCCGTCCAAGAGAAGTATGTGGCGGCCCTCAAGAAAAAGAGCGGAGTCTTGAGGGAGAAATATGCAAACGATAGCCGCTTTAAAGCAGCTAGGAGCAAGTGTGTGGCGGTGGCAAGAGGCCCTGTGGACGAGGTCTCCTCCATGGAGGAGCTGTCGGATGCATCAGTGATGGGAGGTGAGCCGGTGCAGGTTTGGCTGAGCCCGCTACAGTGATTTCGGAAATGGCGCCGGCTGATACGGAGGACGCCGAGGCCACCTATGAGTCGGGCTCCCTCCCCCTCGGGCAGCAGAGCGCGGATTGGGGAACGCAAGTGGAGGAGGCGGAGACCGCGGGAAAGCTCAGCTTCGACCAGGAAATGGAGCCGGCGTTGAGAAGTGATCACTTCCGTTTCGCTTACGAGGATTCCGGAAATGAGGAAGAAAATATGCCGCGTAAGCCGGCTAAGCCGGTGAAGAAGGACCGGGCGTTTTTTGTCCAACTGGGGAGCTCCGTGTCAGTAAAAGATGGTGTGCTGATGGCTGAAGGTGTGCTGCAGGACTCTGCAAAGTCTGGTGGTGACGCACCAATGGACATCCCTGCGGGTAATATGTCTGGGGCTATACCTATAGTGCAGGCTCCTCCTGCAGTGCATGGTTTGGGTGGTCCGGATTCCTCTGTCCCCCTGGTGCAGGCTCCCATTGGCTCCGCCCCCTTGAAGGCTGTGGAAGATGTTGGGGTTGTGTCTGTCCCGTTGGGGTCCCAATCTGGTGGGCGGATTTCCCAAACCCTAGTCCCTGCGGGTCAGGCACTGCTTAGTTCCCCTGTAATTGTTTCTGAGGTACAGGTGTGGGCCTCCCAGGTCTCTGCTTTGTCCAGTCCCCCTTCTGGTAGTCCGGGTCCCCAGGTTCAGGGGTCTGACCCAGTGGTCCCTGGTCCTCAGGTTCAGGCTGCTTCTGTTGCCCTGGCTGCGGTCTCCCCGGACCCTGCTCCCTCTGTTGTTAGTACCCCCGCAGTTTTCAGTTAAGCTACTCGGCGGTGGTTAGAGCTGGGCAGGGGCCGGCCAGGCCAATGCATGCTAGGGCGGGGAACCTACCGACATCTGCTGCCCGTAGAAATGTTGTCCAGTTAAAATGGACAGGGCAGGGCCCCCCTTTAGGTCGGAGGGAAGTAATTGATCGTATTCTTGAGATGGGCTATAAAGCAACAGATTTGTTTGCTTTCATTGCCCCAGTCGGTACGGGCGAATACGATGTATCTTTTATGCGGCCGGAATTGCTAGATCTTTTTTGACAAAGATATGATTCCATCTATGCCCATAGCCCGAGGTGGGTTGGTCTGTCCCCAAAATTGATATCTCGCCAGAACGTGGTCAAGAAAATCATGGTTCTGGTGAGAAATGAGTCGATCCCCCCTGCAGATATTGTGGTGTGGCTGGGGAGATATGGGGATGTTATGGCACCCCTGAGTAAAATTACGGATGAAAGGGGGATCTGGACAGGTGGGTGAATGAGGGTGGAAGGGAATGTGCTCCAGCATATTCCTTCCTCTACCTTCCTTGGCAGGGATAGGTTAATAATTTTTTTATCCTGGCCAACCGCGGGTATGTCACCGGTGTGGTGCCAAGGGCATTTTGCCGCCACCTGTCCTGTGATGTGCTGCTCCTTGTGCCAGGAGATTGGGGACCTGGCCAAGGATTGCAGCGTAATAAGGTGCAACTTGTGTGGTTCTGTGGGGCATTCCTATAATTCATGTCCTGAAGCCCTCCATAACATCTCAGATAGGGTGATAATAGCTGAATTAGACAGCCTGGATGCCGAGGATGTGGAGGAGGAGGTAGTGAAGGCCACCGTGCCTTCTGAGGCAGGCCTTGGGGAGGTGGAGGAGGTTTCTGTGGTCCCTGGGGTTGCCCTGGTTGAGTCTACAAACCTAGTTAGGATTCCAGTAGTATCATCCGTGGTGTCCATCCCCCTTCAAAATAAGGGAAAGAAATTGGTGGAGGCAGCCAAAGAGGCTGGGGTGGTGGAGGTTACAGTTGGGCCTTCTGTGTCCATTCCCCCGGTTCTCCTCCCGCTGCGTCGGGATAAGGTGCCTGATAAGGTATCCCAGGCTCCTGTTCAGGGAGGTCAGGTGGGGGTCCAGGTGGAGGAAGGGTGGTCCACAGTTAAGAAGGGCAATAAGCCTGTCCTTTCCCCAGCGGGGTCGGTCTCCTCATTAGAGGTAGGGGATCTGGTTCTGGTGAACAAGTTTGGGACTCTGTCTGGGGAGGAGGAGGAGTCAGGTGATCCTACTTCCCCGATGGAGGATGAGGACAAGGGGGGGTCTCTGAAGAGGTCAAGGGACCTTTCCAAGAAAACCAAAAGGATTGTTAAGAAGCGCCATTCTCAATTACCTTAATGGCAGTTCCCGCTCCGATAAAGGTGGCAACCATTAATGTTGCAGCATAAAGTCTGTAAGCGCTAGAGAAACGGCCTTATTTTTGCTCAGCAGTATTGATGCTGATGTTTTATTTTTGCAGGAGACCCGGTTGTGTAGCTTGGCTGACATTTATCTGGTCAAAAGGGAGTGGAGGCATGGTCCATCTTTCTGGTCTCTTGCGGCCGAGCCTTACAGCGGAGTTGCGGTGCTTTTTACGTGCCGGCGGGTAACGTGCCGGCGGGTAATTGAGGTGGAGATTGGAAGATGTCTGATCTTGGATGTCCTTGTGAGGGGTCAGGAACTGCGCCTAATCAATATCTATGGACCGCAGTCCAAATGGGACAGGAAATGTCTCTTCACAAAGATCAAGCCTTTCCTTTTTAAGTCCCGGCTGGTGGTCTTTGGAGGTGATTTTAACACCGTAACTAGGCCCAAGGACAGGAAGGGGCTCCAATGACAGGCTGGGATATGATAGCATTTTTCTGAATGCTATAGTCAGGGAAGCAGGTCTGGTGGACGCCTTGGTTAAGAGCAGCCCAGACGGCACGGGGTTCACTTTTAGGAGAGGTAATAGTCAGAGTAGGATAGATAGGTTTTTTTTAAAGGAGGACTCTGCCTTCTCGGCTCCTGAGTGTCGGGCGGTGGAGTTCTCTGATCACCTTATGCTTACTGTGACTTTGAATGTTTCAGACACGCCACTGAGAGGGAAGGGCATCTGGAGAATGAATTTGTCTCTACTGGAAGACGAGGAGGTGAGACGATCTTTCGAGGAGTTCTTTCAGGCTCAGGTGACGTTCCTGGATTTTTTGCAACAGTAAGTCAGAGTGGTGGGAGCTTGTCAAGTTGCGGATTGGCAGGTTTTTCAAGGCCATAGGGAAAAGAAAACAGCTTGATAGATACAACGCCTTCCAACGGTTGCAGAGGAAGCTCGACCGCCTTGTTTCTAGCGGTGGAGATTCTGGGGCAATCTCGGAGGCTAAGCTTCTCCTCAGGAAGTTCCAATACGACCGGCGCGCCTCTTCGGTTCTGCAGAGGGATTATGGGAAATATCACTCGCCCGACTCTTTTCAGAACTGCAAACAGAGCGCAGCGGTTAAAATGGTCTCTGCCTTAAGGGATAGTACGGGTGTAACGGAACCGGTACCCGACCGCACTTGGGTATATTCCGTTATACCGCAGCTTCCCTGTCCGAGCACCATCCATGGACCACACCCTTGAAATCCCTCAGGAAAATAGACAGCACCCAGCTCCTCCTAAAACAGGAAGCCAACAACTTTTATTGTACACAAACAACATGTTTTATACAGAGGGCGGGGAAAGACAACCAGGGACAGGAAACACAACATCAGCCCACCCCATCAGTGGGAAGGGCTACAGTATAGGCAGGAAACACCTCATCACTCCTCCCCATCCAACCAAGACACAGAACAATGGGATGCAGCCATGCGGCAAAGGACATTGACCAACCCCCCCACACCAATACACACAAACAGTACATCCCATAATAGTTTGCTGGACAGGAAGGCAC